GTCAGGATCAGGATCATGTTGATTGTCTATCTGCGTTTGCAGTTCCTTGGCTAAGTCCTCAAATTCATAGAATGCAGCAATAAGTGGCTCAAGACTGAAATCATCATCAATTGAGGCCATTGTACCATTTCTTATAATATTACTGATATTCCGAAACATTTTAATAACAATTTGAATATTATCGTTTGATTCTTCTATGTTAAAGAGGCCCCAAAATATCGATAGAGCTTTGGCATTGCATAGGTTTTTGATCACCATAGCATTTTCAGACAAATTCAACAGCATTTTCAGAACATGAAACTTTGTTGTTGCATTTCCTGTGACTATCAGGGAGAGAAACCCAGACATAAAATTGGCAACCAGTGTGTGATAGTCAGTAGGTGTAGTGAGGTATCTAAGCAGCCTTAATCCAAGCAGCTGCTCGGGGCAATTCACAGTCTGTGCAAGGGTTTCCTCACACACTTGACATATGAATGTCTCAATCATGTTAAGATTAGGATATGGTGGAGACGTGAGAATCACATTTTCCAAAAACTGTGTCCTAACTCGGGAGGAGGGATAATTGAGCAAGGTTTCAATAAGTGAGACAACACCCGAATCCTGAATGAAATCTCGGGTAAATTGAGAAGCGCTTCTCGTACCCATTGCGATTTTAGATATTTCCTGAATAAAGGGATCTCGGATTTTGTCCATTAACAGAAGGAGTTCTTCAAACTCTCCAGAACCAATTTTAAGTTCACACTGGATGCAGCTGCAGGACCAACTCTCAGGCTCTGCACTCTCCCTGGTCCTAAGGTGCTCCCGAATTTCCCTGACTGACCTGTAGGACGGCTCACACTGAAATGGGAACTCAGGGTCAGGCTGATGGGGCTGAAGCCCCGATTCCTGCTCTTCCCCTTCTGGGGTGAGATCCGCATTCTGGGGCTTTCCCTCAAACAATTTGGCGAATGCAGCTGCTGCTGCTTCTTTTGAGAATCTGAAGGGGCTTGGGGAGGGGAAACCAACCAGATAAGAAGGACCAGGTTTGAATTCAACAGTGACCTCTTCCCAAGTTTGGGGCCTGCGTGATGTATTAATTTCCTCAGCTGAATTGCTGAACCTGGGAGTAGCCTTGTACACCGGATTGGGATTTAGGTCAAAGCAGGCCTCATCCCTGTCCCAGAAGCAGGACCCAAATATGTCCTCCTCTTCAGACTCTGGCCTGGTCTCTTCTCTGGCCACAGCCCCCAAACTGAATTTTTCCTCAGTTCCGAATGAGAATCCACCAATGGCCCCCTCCTCAGCCCCTGGCATGGACTCAAGGATGGCCGAAGCCCCAGCCTCCATACCGGCCTCTTTCTCTTCCCAGAACCAGGACCCAATAATGACTTCCTCCTCAAACCTGGGCTCCTGTTTGTCCCTATCACTGTTATCAACATCTTTCTGGGCCCTAGACTTCAGGACAGTATTAGGCTCTTCCTTGTCTCTGGGCCTGAATCTACTATTGGCCTCTTCTCCAGGCACAAACCAGGACTCCTTAAAGTACTCATCTTCAGACTCGGGTTCAGAAACCTCCTCTGTCTTTGTCCTGAGCTTGGACCTAACATTTGCCTCCTCTCTGACTCTGGGCCTGAATAAGGGATTGGTATTTTCTCCAGCCCACAAGCATAATGGGTTGCCAGACTCCTCCTCAGATGTAGACCTGGAATCAATATAGGGATCTTTCTTGGATCTGGGCCTAGACCTGGGGTTAGGCTGATGTTTGACCCTGTGCCTGGACCTGGCATTGGCCTCTTCCCTGGGCCAGGATCTGATATTGGCCTCTTCTCCAGCCCAGAAAGAAGACACTGTAGAGGTCTCATCTGCTGACCAGAGTCCAGATTCATTAGAGCCCTCTGCTCTGGCCCTTGGCGTGGGATAGCACCAAGACCCGGTATTCATTTCCTCCCCTGATCCAAACCAGGGTTGGATTCCCTGGGAGCCAGGAAAGGTCTTAGCGTCCACCCTGATCGGTTCCCTATCTACAGACAGGGCCATAGGTTTAGCATCTGACCCACACTCAGCACTGACCAGTGGCCAGGCTACTGCATTGGTCTGGGTCAGGCCCTCTGTTTCGGACATTGCCTCAGCCCCAAACTCAGTCTGGGCCCAATCCTGGGCTTCATCCTTGGGCCTTTCCCCAGGGATTGCCTTGGCTTCAGTTTTAGGACATGCCCTACCTAGTGCCTTGGCCTCAGTTTTGGGCCTTGCCCCAGATATTCTCTGGATTTCAGTTCTGGGCCTTGCCCCGGCCATTGCTTGGGAATCAGTTTGGGGCCCTGACCCAGCCATCACCTGGGACTCTGCTTTGGGCCTTGCCCCATTCATGGCCTTGGACTCAGTTTTGGGCCTTACCCCATTCATACCCTTGGACACAGTTTTGGGCCTTGCCCCATTCACAGCTTTGGATGCAGTTTTGGGCCTTGCCCCAGGCATTACCTGGGCCTGGGTCCTAACCTTGGATCTGACCACCATCGGGACTTCATTCTCTCTCTCAGACCCACCCCCAACTTCTTCTCCAGCCTTCTTTTCAGGCTTGGCCTGGGCACCAGGCTCGATCTCAGCCCCACTCATAGTACCAGTTACAGAGAAGACGCAGTTAAATACCAGTACCACAGTCCCCACCTCCACCTGTCACAGATCTGTCACAATTGTGTATCTTCACACTCTGACCTTTCGGTGATTCAGGTGATAGAGTCGGAAATAAGAGTTAGAGTCAATCACCAGTCCAGCAGTCAACCAGCTTCCTTCCCAAGACCAGCCTCAGCCAATATCACAGACAAGAGTGCAGAAGAGGCACAAACAAGCAGGGGGAGGATGGGTGGTTTCCAGTTGGGTGCAGATCTGTCAAGGGTGGTGGTCAGCAGCAATTCCAACTCCACCAGAGATGCCACTGGAGGTGGATCTAGGGAGAGAGAACATGGGGCTTTGAGTCTCTTCGAACTGTGTCACTCCATGCCTAGACTCACACACACAGAGTAGACCTTGGATTCTTGATGGGGCTCTTTGGCTATTAGAAAGTCTCTCTGTCACACTCATTTTGCCCATAGCTGCTGCTATTTGACCTGCCCCCAAAGAGGTGTGAGGTTGGTGGGAGAGTATGTTGGCAATGGCAGAGGCTGAGGAGTCCTGAGACTAGGCCTTAATCACTGTTTGGCCTGGGGTGGTCTCCACTACCCTACCCGAAGTTGTACACACTCTCATACAGACCTGCTTGGATGTGATGCAATGTCCCACTCCTTGCTTTGTTCCCGTGGTACCAGTTACACCCTAGAGAAGACAGCAGGCCATCCCATGGACAAGGAAACTACAGGAGAAAATGGAGTCTGAGTGCTTGGTTGACAGGCAGACACCCTGACCCTTGACGCAAACATCTCTCTTTTTGTTTAAGGGTCCAATTTGCCTAACCTTTCCTGTCTCCTGATTCCTGAACTCAGGTCTTCTCCTCCCTCTCACAGCCCAATCCACGCCTGCCCCAATACTCCTAATATCTCATGTAGGAAATGGACAAGGGATGCTGGGGCAGTGTGCAAAGCTGGCAGAGAGCAAAGACCTGCCATGGTCTTACTCTGTCGCTGTCCCCTGCATTTCCCGCTTCTCACCAACCTGTAGAGAATTGAGCCAGTGTCTTCCTCCTTTCCTTCCTTGCAGAAGTGACCAGCCTTAAAGTAAGCCTAGGGACAAACAGATGAAGAGAAAACACAGTGAGGAAACCATGGTAGCAACTGAGAGCTTGATGGACAAACCAACACCAGTGATGGGAGTCCACATGTGATTCGTCTTTCAACATTCAGCATCTTCTTGATAGAATATTCTCGTTTTACTATGGCCCTCTGTTTCAGGGCTCCAGATAACGACATCTTTTCTTGAAGTCACAGTCTGCTCACTGCTCCCTTCTTCAAGTCTGAGGATTCACTACTAGGTGCACCACATCCCTTTGCCTTGGGCAGCATAAACTGGGGGAAGGGCGGCCGCATGTTCTAGAAAACAGGTTGTGCAGTGGTACTTGTAATTATGACTTCCATCTCACCCTCACCTCAAAGCCCATCTTTTCCTACCCCCAATTATGGCTGGAGGTAAGGGAGTCAAGGGAAGTGCTTGGGAACTGTCACAGAGGGAACTTTTAGGATTTATTCCTGGATGCCATACCCGCTCTGGTCACAGTCACTCAACCACAATTCGGGTCCAGTCAAAGGCGGCTGCCCACCCCCCATCCCCACACACCTGCAGAAATCCAGGTTATTTTCCGCTCCAACTTTTTCTCAAGCTGCTCCTCGGCAGGTGCACCCCGCCGCCTGAAATCGCCAACCTACCGCGCAGACAGGACACTCTGGCACCAACGAGGCGCCTGTGGGAAGGGACAGGCTCCAGGACGCGCGGCCCAACAGGCCCCTTTCTAGATTCAGGGCCCGGGGTAGCCAACGCCCCCGAACTCGCACCCCCCAGTGTAGCTCCTGCTCCGCCATTTCTCCAACAGCAGCCTCCCCCCCACCCCGCCCTCTCCAGGAGGCAGGCTGGGGAGAGGCTGGAGTGGATTCCTTCCACAGCATCCCAGGGAGCCTCTCAGGCCACCCTCTGGGCCCTGTGCCGGGCTGCAGGCCCTTGTCACTGCATACTCCACCAGTGATCTTCAGGATCTGAGTACCTCTCTCAGGGACTGGCTTCGATCGGGTCTCCATCTCTCCCAGGGTCAGAGTTCAGGTTGCAAGCTGCTCCAGACTGGGGGGCCACCCTCCACCCCCACAGAACCCCCACTTTCCTCTTTCTAGGCTCAGGGTCCAGGTGGTTTGCCTCTCTTCTTCTAGGAGCTCCTCATTCAGAGTCCCAGTCATGCTATTAGGTATGTTAATTTCTGAGGCATTGCATTGACAGAATGAAGGAGGTAAAATAAGAATGGACAATTACCAAGAAAAAAAATGGACAACTACAATTTTGAGGACCTATTTGTTGCCACATGCTATAGGTTGTCATTTTCACATTTTTGTCTTTTCAAATCCTCAAAGCAATGCTCGGAGGTGGACATCATTACTTCCTTTCTACTCATGGGAAGATACTAAGGCTCACATAGCAGAGTACACACTCAAAGAATTTTAGGGAGGCGTCAAATGGACACAGAAGCCAACTTCTGTGCTAATGCTGGCCAATTCTGTGACAATTTGACCATCAAAATGCATATTCATAATGTCAGATGGTATCCCTTTGAGAAAAGGAGGAATCTATGAATTATGCTAATATAAATAAGTACATGAATAAATAAATAATTGCTGGGGAGAAGGGATAGCTCTACCCAACATTTAAATGTCAATTTATAAATCTAGGAGGAATGACAGATTTACAAAAGCAACAGTTAACAATTATCATAGTAATGAGTGATTCAGGCAAGAATCATGAATGAATTTTTAGATTGTACCAAAACCCCACAGCAGTCACTGAGTCACCACTTTACCCATTTTGGGCAAGGAAAGCTGGGAAAAAACAAACAGCAACCATCCTGATTAGTTTCCTAATGCACGCTAGGAATTGAGCAGGACTGACAAAACACACAGTAATTAACCTCCAATACTCCTCATGATAAATATTCCCCACAGATTTACCAGTACACACACACACACACACACACACACACACACACTTATACACTCTCTTTCTGTTTTTTCCTTGCCATCGAAGAATCCAGGATCATTGAGGCGGATTTGTTTGAGAATAAAGAAGAAAATTCCACAAGTCAATTCAGACTACTCTAATAAAGTTTAAAGCTACTAAACTATTTTATTTCAGGGACTGATTTTCTAGAGTTGACCTGTTGACTCTCTCTGGGACATTTTTCTCCCTAGTTTCAGTACCTTGCCAGTAATATCTAAAAGCTGATAAGAAAATCTAAGCAAATAAGTATTGTGTTGGTAGATTTTATTTGTCAACATGGCATGGCTACAGTGCCCAGATATTTGATCAAATATTATTATGGATGTTTCTGTGAGAGTGCTTTTAAATGAGATGTACATTTAAATGGGTGGACTGAGTGAAGCCTCAGCTCCCCATAATGTGGGTGGGCCTCATCTAATCAGCTGAAGGCCTGAAAAACAAAGGAATGGACTTACCTGAGCCTCAGGGAATTCTGCCAGGGGACAGCACTTTGGACTTTATCTAAAGCATCATCCCTTTGTGGGTCACCAGCAGACTGTCTTCAGACTCCAAAGGTAACTCTTTCCTGAGTCTCCTGCCTGCAGACCTCCACCATCAAATTTTGGACTCACCAAGCCTCCACAGTCCCATGAGACAATTCCTTAAAATAAATCTCTATCTATATATAAACATCCTATTGGCTCTGTTTCCCTGGAAAACCCTGACTAATACTCATATTAAGCATCAAGTAACATTTCCATCCTAGGGTATGCTGTGCTTTCAACCAAAAAGATATCCCAGCAACATCTGGTTGGTTACTGACACTTCAGTGAAACTATAATACCTGCATATTGTAATAAAAATGCTTGCATCAACAATAGCATTAAAATGTATGAATTACACAGAGGTAATCTATGTAGCACATCTATGTCCACAGAAGTACAAGGGCTGTACTCTGAACACCGTAAAACATTGCAGAGAGAAATTAAAGAAGGTCTAAATAAAAAGAGGGACATTTCACTTTCATGTGTCAGAAGACTCAATATTGTTAAGATGATGCTTATTTTCCCCATACTGATCTATAGATTCAATGCAATCCCAATAAAAATCCTAGGATACATTTTTTTACTTATTCTAAGAGTCATGTGGAAATGCAAAGAGCCCAGACTCTGAAAGACAACTTTGAAAAAGAACAAAATTGCAAGATAAGCACTACCTACTCATTATAGATCTATAATAATCGAGGCAGTGTGGTATTGGGATGAAGGTAGAAATATATATCAAAGAAACAAAGAGCCCAGAAATAGACCTATACATATATGAAGAAATGACTTTTGACAAAGCTACAAAGTCAATTCAGTGGAGAAAGGATAGTCTTTTCAACAAATGGTGCTGGGACAAAGGAACAAACATATTGATAAGCACAAACATAAACTGTGATCTATCTATCTTACCATATATAAAAGTCAACTCAAAATGAATCACAGGCCTAAACATAAAAGCTAATACTATAAAACTTCTGGAAGAAAATGCAGGAGGAAAATTTTATGACCTCAGGTTAGATGAAGATTGGTTAAATATACTAAAAGCAAAATCAAAACCATGAATGAACAGGTTGATAAACTAGACTTCCTCAGCGTTTGAAAAGCTCTGTTCTTCCAAAGACTCTGTTGAGAGAATGAAAACACAAGCCACTGAGAAAAAATATTTGCAAATCATATATCTGATAAAGGATTTGTATCCAGAATAAAAAAGCTCCAATAGGTCAGTAAGAAGAAAACAGACACGCCAATAAATAAGTGAGCAAAAATTTGAACAGATACTTCACCAAAGAAGACATACAAATGTCAAATAAACACGTGAAAAGATGCTCAACATCATTAGTCATTAGGGACAGGTAATACCCTACAGCCCTCTGAGAATGGCCAAAGTTGAAAAGACTGACCATGCCAAGTCTTGGCAAGGATGGGGAGAATAGAACTCTCAGACACTGCTAGTGGTAAACAAAAATGGTACAGCCATTTCTGGAAAACAGTTTAGCAGTTTCTTGCAATGCTAATCTTAAAACTATCATATGACCCAGCCATTGCACCCCTAATTATTCACCTAAGAGAAAGAAAGCATATGTCTAAGCAAAAACTTATGCACAAATGTTCACAGCAGCTTTATTTTACAAAAGCCCCAAATTGGAAACAATGCACATATCCATCACCAGGTGAATGGATAGAACAAATTGGGATATATCCATAAAATGGAATATGAGTCAACAGTAAAAACAAGGAACTATTCATACATTCAACAAATGGCTCAATCTAAAAATAATTAGATGAGACAAAGAAGACAGACATAAAAGAATATACACGGTATGAGTTAATTCACATAAAATTATGGGAAAAGAAATCTACGCTATAGTGGTTACCTGGGATTGGGTTAGGGTAACATGGAGAGGGAGGTGGGAGAGGTAGTTGGGTGTGTTACAAAGGGACACAAAGAAGGTTTTTTGAGGTGATGGATATGTTTATTACCTTGATTGTAGTATTGGATTCACAGATATACATATATGCAAATATCGTGGCTGCCTTGATGTCCTGAATTGATCCAAAACGTTTACCTTTCATAGTCATTTTGACTTCTTGGAAGAGCCAGCATTCACATGGTGCCAGATCCAGTGAATAAGGTGGATGAGGACACACTGTAATGTTTTTTATTTGACAGAAATTGCTATATACCAGAAGTGATGTGTGACATGGAGCCTTTCCATTGTGATCAAGAAATACAGTGTATGCTGCTACCGAGGGCCAACCAACAGAAAGGCAGGGATCTTCAACATGGGAAGAAGTGTGTAGAACCCTAATAACAGTGTGTGACAAGTTTCAACTCGTTCGGTGCAGTCAGTTGTGTGTGAAATACGGTTAAGAGAAGGTATGTTTTAAAGTGTGCCGTAAATCATCCTCCATCATGACAATGCTCCATGTCACACATCGCTTCTGGTATATGGCAATTTCTGTCAAATAAAAACTACAGTGTGTCTTCATCTACCTGGCACCGTGTGACTTCTGCCTCTTCCCCAAAGTCAAAATTATTCAGGACATCGAGGCAGCCCCCACAGCGCAACTAAAGACACTCACGAAAGAGGACTTCCAGAACTGCTTCAGAAAGTGGCAAGAACAATGGGATAAGTGTGTTTGAAACAAGGAGGAGTATTTTGAGGGGGATTAATGGCAATGTGTCTTTTATTGCAGTAATTTCTTTTTACTTAAAGATTCACCATATTGTTTGATCCCTGTATGTGTGTGTCAAAGTGTATTACAGCATATACTTTAAATATGCACAGTGTATTGTATGTGAACCACACCTCAATAAAGTATTGGAAATACACTTATATAATAATTCTGTGATACGGTTAAATTAATCAGGTAAAATATTTCCACGATTATGCTCCTGTACTATTATATTAACAGATACACATTATGCCTTATCAAATTGGTCCACACTACATGTAACCAAAATAGTTATATTCATTTGCAATGAAATATATCCAAATATTTAGGGAAAGTTGGTGTCCACGTCTTTTTGAAATAAAGAAATAAAAATACTATATCCTAGGAAAATATTCAAAATGATACTTAAGAGGAGCAGCTGGTTATTTGGGGGAATGTGGCTGAGTATCATTATAATAGGGCAAAATCTAGAGTAATAAATATATTTTTAAAATATTAAGT